TTCCTCTGCCCATTTTTTAAATTGGATTATTTGTTATTTTACTATTGAGTTGTATGAGTTATTTATATATTTTAAATATTAACTCCTTATCAGATAAGTGATTTGCAAATATTTTCTCCTATGGTACATTGCCTTTTCATTTTGTTGCTGCTTTCCTTTTCTGTGCAGAAGCTTTTTGGTTTGATGTGGTCCCACTTGTTTATTTGTGCTTTTGTTGCCTTTGTTTTTGGTGACAAATCCAGAAAATCATTGTCAAGATCAATGTCAAGGAGCCTACTCTATGTTTCCTTCTAGAACTCTTATGGAGTCATGTGTTACACTTACATCTTTAATACATCTTTAGTTGATTTTCGTGTATGGTATAAGAGAGCGGTCCAGTTTCATTCATTTGTATGTGGTCATCCAGTTTTCCCAACACCATTTATTGATGAGATTATCCTTTCCCCATTGTACATTTCTGCCTCCTTTGTCATTAGTTAATTGATCATGTATGCATGGTTTTATTTCTGGGCTCTCTATTCTGTTCCATTGATCTGTGTGTCTATTTTATGCTGATACCATGCAGGTTTGATTATTATAGCTTTGTAATATAGTTTGAAATCAGGAAGCATAATGCCTCCAGCTTGTTCTTTTTTTCTCAAGATTGCTTTGGCTATTCAGTGTCTTTTGTGGTTCTGTGGGAATTTTAGAATTGTTTGTTCTATTTCTGTAGAAAATGCCATTGGAATTTTGATAGAGATTGCATTAACTCTGTAGATTGCTTTGAGTAGTGTGGACATTTTAACAATATTCTTCCAATCCATGAGCATGGAATATCTTTTCATTTACTTGTGTCTCTTTCAGTTTCTTTCATAAGTGTCTTATAGTTGTCACCAAACAGATCTTTCACCTCCTTGGTTAAATTTATTCCTAAGTATTTTATTCTTTTTGATGCTATAGTAAAGAGGATTTTCTTATTTGTCTTTTTCAGAAATCATTGTTAGTGTATAGAAACACAATTTATTTTTGTATATTGATTTTGTGTGCTGCAACTTTACTTAATTAATTTATTAGTTCCAATAATGTTTTGGTGGAATCTTTAGAGTTTTCTGTATATAATATGTCATCTGCAAATAGTGATGGTTTTACTTCTTACTTTCCAATTTAGATGCCTTTATTTCTTTTTCTTGCCTAATTGCTCTGGCTGGGACTTTAGATACTATGTTGAATAAAAGTGGCAAGAGTTGGCATCCTTATCTTGTTCCTTATTTTAGAGAGAAAGCTTTTATTTTTTTTATTATTGACTATGATGTTAGCTATCAGGTTGTCATATATGGTAAAATAGGTGATGGGGATTAAGGAGGGCACTTGTGACGATCACAGGGTGATATAGGTCATTGTTGAATCACTATATTGTACACCTGAAACTAATATTACACTGGATATTAACTAACTGGAATTTAAATAAAAACTTTTTTTAAAGTATGCAAATATAATCCTTTTAGAGAAAGACTAAGATGGGCATTTCTGCCTGTTCCTTCTGCACTGAGTCCTGGGGTGGTAGCCACAGTAGTGCTCACACCCATTAAAAACTGCTTCTTTGTTTGCTATAGTCTTGTGTATCTTGTGGCTGCAATCCCCATTGGCTTTCAAAGCAAGCTGTTTGGAAGGCCTGTCCCTCAAGTGGGAGTCTTAAAGTTAGGAGGCTAAATGTGGGGTCCAAACCCTTAGCTTCTCAAGGAGAAACTGGGATGTGGGGGTTACCTCCCATTTGTATGGCACTGTGCTAAGAGTGAGGTTTAAGGAAAGATTATGTCCCAACTATTCCTACCCATTTCAATGTGGGTATTTTCTTATTTGCCAGATGTTTAGGAGTCCCTCAGCTAGTCTCTGGATTGCCTTCACAGGGAATTATTCCACGTGCAAGTGTTTATTTGGCGCATCAATGGGAAGAAGGAAATTCAGGAGCCTCCTATGACACCGTCTTTGAAAACTGCCCCTACCTAATTTTATAAAAAGGAAATCTTGGGCGCCTGGGTGGCTCAGATGGTTAAGTGTCTGCCTTTGGCTCAGGTCATGATCCCAGGGTCCTGGGATCGAGTCCCGAATCAGGCTCCCTGCTGCTTAGGAGCCTGCTTCTCCCTCTGCCTCTCTCTCTCTCTCTCTCTCTCTAGAGAGAGAAATATTCTTTCATGAATAAATAAATAAAATCTTTAAAAAAAATAAAAAATAAAAAGGAAATCTTAGTGAGATTGATAAACTTTAATGGATGATGGCTATGAATTATTATGTTGCAGTAGAATTCAAAATGGAATATTGAAGTGATCCTTTGATTAACTTAAGAGTATTTCAGATTCTTATTCTAGTTATTAAAACACTGATATAGTAAGAAAACAAAACTCAAGCTACTTTGAGTGTTTAATCTAAGTCCATTCTATAAATATTTATTGAGTGCTTTCCATGTTTCAGGCACTGTTCTAGGTACTCGGGATACAAGTTCTATAATGGACTACAAAAATAATAAATACATATATAAAAATAAAGAGTAGTCATAACTTCTAAAATATTTAGCCTGGGAAATGTTCTAGGTGGTACTGACAGCAAAATTCAGTGGAGGACTGTAATCCAACCAGAAACATTTTTGTGACTGCATTCATCGTTTGCCATTTGGTCGCTCATCTATGGTTTCATTTTACTGAACTCCAACTTTCTCATCTGATCTGAATTACAATGAGGGTGTTAAATCACATCCGTAGTTACCTTTGCATATTTTGTGACTTCAAACAATTAGATTATGATTCACTGTGTGCATAATTTTTTAAATCGTTTCAAACCAGCAGTGCTGCTTTTACTTTTTCTAGGTTTTCTCTAATGAACAAACTTCATAGCTTCATACGTTTTGTGCTGTAGTCTAACGGCTCGGTACCTGATTCTTTTAAACTAATACAGTATGTGCTTTTTGTGCCTCACTTTTCTCATCTGTAAAATGGGATCTGTAGAAGACCTAACCAACACAGTTGTTATAAGGATGAAATAATTAACATTTGTAAAGAAAACACAGAACTAAAGAAAGTGCCAGGCACACAGTAAGTTTTAAGTGCTGTATTTTCTGCATCCCTAATGGTCATTTACTTATTCCTACTATCTCAAATATTTTAACATAGTAAATGAGGTATTGTTCCTTGTTCTTTCCTTTGTATACTTGGAAGGAAGCAGGATTACAATGAGAAATAAAAACAAATACATAATAAAATAAAATTTTAAAAAAACAAATACAGATCTAGCAGGGCCATATCAGAAATGTCTCTTTGTCTGTAAACCACTTGTCTCAGGAGTAAATCCCTCCAAATGATGCAAACCAAGAGACATTTTCACACTTAACTCTTTTCTAAAGTTTTTTTCTGATTTCAAAAGTCATTGTCATTATTATAAAATTCCATATTACAGAAATTAATAACTTAGAAAGTAAAAAGTCCCTTTACCCACATACTCACCCCATTCTCTGTACCTTTGGAGAGACTTAATCGTAATAATCTGTATATATTCTCACATGATTTTCCTGTTCATTTATTTTTTATTAAAATAAGATTACATTGCACATACAGCTTTGCAACTGTCTTTTTATTAAAATAAGATTACATTGCACATACAGCTTTGCAACTGTCTTTTTATTCACTTAAAATAAGTCTTTGGTGTCTGTGTCAGCACATTTAATTCCTTCTCATTTCCAACAGCTTCAGAGGGCTGTAACTCAAGGACGTGCTTGCGGCTCTCTACCCACAAAGTCCTATAGTGGTTAGATCTGATTGGAAAAAGCCCTTCAGCTGATCCTTGTACCGCCAACCACTTCAAGTCCTGACCCAGAAGGGGCACCAGGAGAGTCATTCAAAAGATCTGCCCCGTCCACTCCCGGAGACCAGACTTCTCTCAGTACAGGGAGAAGGGCCGCGCTGGATGATGAATACACATTCATACAGCAGTTAATCCTGAGGATCACAGAAACATTATAAATCCAATGCCCTTGAAGTGGAACTCCTCTCTGGAGTGTGGATGCCCAGTCATGCACGGCCCCACTTGGAGCAGGAAAGAAATTTTATTTGAGGATGTTAAGGTCAAGTTAACTTATTTTAAAATTGCCATAGGAGGCCATTCATCCCCACTTCACATCTCCACTTCAAAGCCTACTTCCCATCACTCAGATATTTGCCCTTGGAGCAATTAAGTCCCCTTTTCTCTTTTCTGTGCTTTCATTAACTGCTCTGTTTCTCTTTCTTAGCTTACAAAAGGGCAGATATTTTTGAAGTCAAATGTCAATATGTCAAACATCAAATATCCATTCCCATGCAATGCACAGTGAATATAATTAATACTCTATTGTAACAAATGTACTATTATTTAATCTGTACACCAAACTTACACATAATTGACCGGCCAGGTATAAAGAGTACTCTATGCAGAGAGCTTAGAATATCCAACTCAGCTGAGGCCTTTGTTAGAGTGTATGTGAAGTCACAGACTCCACAACACAAGGAAATTTTTTGCAGAAAAGAGCTACAGGCTTCTTTGGCAAGAAAACAAGAGACGTGATAATACCAAGCAACACTTTCATAGCCATGCAAGCTATGATGCCTCTGTGGCATCAAGCAGGAATCCACTGTGTTAGGGCTGAGGACGGGAATGCCAATGAAACCAGGGCCAAAACAGCCCTCGTGCTCCCTGGAACACCGAACTTTCCAAAGGCCATTGTCCATCCAGTTCTTCCAAGGTTACGTAGCAAAAGGTTCAGAATTGCATGCATAGAATAGCCAAAGGGTCAAAACCAAGGCAATAAGGAGATCCTGTTCTCTGCATTTTCGCTCTTCAGTTGTCACAGATCCCCAGTAGCACCACTCCAGGCTGGGACTCAAGATCTGTTTATTTGTGCCTCACAGAGGTCAAAGCGAACCTTTCTGAAACACTGTTTTGAGCAATAAAACTTCCACGTCCTGCTACTTATGGCTACTTCAACCTGTTTCTTTCAGATACCATTGTTCTTATCGCTTCAATAGCAGTTGTTTCTGCAAAAACTCAGGGTAATATTTTTGCCACGTCTGCACTCAGAAGTCTCCGTTTCCTACAGATCCTCCGCATGGTGCGCATGGACCGAAGGGGAGGCACTTGGAAATTACTAGGTTCAGTGGTTTATGCTCACAGCAAGGTAAGCTTTGAAGACTTCTGGAAGTTTTTCACTGATTGCTGTGGAATATTTAATGACTAAGCAAACTTAGTCATTTCAGAGGTTGGTTAAAGCGCAACGTATAATGGATTATTTAAAAGTCATCATATGGTTGCCAGAGGGAAGGGGAGTGGGAGAAGAGGCAAAATCGGTGAAAGGGAGAGGGAGGGACAGGGTTGCAGTTGTGGAATGACTAAGTCACAGGACTCAAAGGCTCTGCACAGGGGTACTCAGTGATACTGTAACAGCGGTTGTGTGGTGACAGAAGGCTTGTGGTGAGCACAGCATAACGTACAGAGATGTGGAATCCGATGTTGTACACCTGAAACTAATGTAACATTGTGTGTCAGCGTTACCAAATAAAAAATAATGTTTTTCAAGTCCTCATGCCCCAAATAAATTAGAGTAAACCCATGTCTTTAGAATACTGTGCAACCATAAAAAAAGACCGAGGAAGTTTTTCTGTTCACTGGGACATCCTCTGAATAAAAAAGTAAATTCCATAAGCATATATATATGTGTATATATACACATATATACACATATATATACATATATATACATATATATACATATATACATATATACACATATATACATATATATACATACATATATGTGTGTACATATATACATATATACACACACACACAATCATAAATATATATATACATATATATATACATATATATACACACACACAATCATAAATATCCAAAAAGTAGTAAAATGAATACATAGATTATTTTTTCCTTTTTCACAGATTTTTTTTTACCTCTAACAGTCTTTCATTCCTTTTATATCTAGGAATTAATCACAGCTTGGTACATAGGATTTTTGGTTCTTATTTTTTCATCTTTCCTTGTCTATCTTGTGGAAAAAGATGCCAATAAAGAGTTTTCTACATATGCAGATGCTCTCTGGTGGGGCACAGTAAGTATAAAAATCTGTTTTTACTTTTTGGATGTTGTGAAATGTTTCCTTTGAATACAGTGTAATGATTTCTATGAATCATTTATGAAAGGTCTCAATAAAAACATTAACTTCCAAAAGAGAGTTATGTGAAAATATACAGCACTAAAATTGTCTAAAGAGTTTTCCCATCTCATCTCTATGGCTCAACAAAATTAAGTTCTCTTATAAATCATCAGAAGTATTTCTTGAGTGCTAGATTGTTGCCAAAATAAAGATACATTATTTTTTTAAGCTGTGATTAAAATCTTGATAAGGTTGTTTCTTTGTCTTAACTTTGTGGAGCACAGATTTTAAATGACCAATTTTGCATCGGTTTACCACTCATCAAAAAGTTTATCTGAGGTTTAAGAAAAAGGAATAGTAGCTGAATGGAAGTTATAGTAAAATTATGGCACAAGAAGTGAAAAAGAGAAAACTGGTAACCATCTGTGAGGTCAGAGATCATAGACACCTAATTTCAAAATTTTCCACTCAAAAACCTACTTTTCATTTAAATTGTTATTAAAGAATAGTTTGCCAAACAAAAAAAATCATGGCCACATACAGACCTGTGCTAAAGATTTTAACTCCTTTTTTAAAATTTGTCATTAATGAGGGACCCAGTACAATGTTATATCTGGTTTAAAGGACTATCCAAAAAACAGAAACATATAAAGATCAAGAATATTGAAATGAATTCAAGCAGAGGTAAAGCTGGCTTCTTCCACAGTGTGAGAGTGAAGTCAATTAAACCTCCCCTAGACAGAATTTATTTACATGTCTATAGATAAGAATTATTTTGCAATGCTACCAGTTATCTACAACTTACAGAGTTGCAAAATAGCTCAACAGCCATGAAAAATGCAGAGCCCCATAAAGTCAGAAGTCAATAACCTGGAAAGGTGTGCTCTAAGCAAGGCATAGTTTTCCATTAAAGCAAAAATCTTGTCTGCATTGTAAAGAATTTATAAAACAGTCATTGAAACATGGGCCCTAATAAGAATGTCACAGGATAGGGGAATGCTTTCTGCAATATATAAACTATATTTTATTTATTTTATTCCTTAAGACATTCCAAAAGGGGGTTTTGCGAAAATATACAGCATTTGTAATTATCTAAACAGCTTTCCATCTCTTTGGTCCAACAAAGTTAAGTTCTCTAAAAATTCATCAGTAATATTTCTTGAGTGCTAGATTGTCACCAAAATTAAAATACATCCTTTTCTTAAACTGTGGTCAAAATATTTATAAGTTATGGGCACCCGGGTGACTCAGTAAGTTAAGTGTCCAACTCTTGATTTCAGCTCCGATCTGATCAAGCCCCACATTGGGCTCCATGCTGGGCATGGAGCCTACTTAAAAAAATAAATATATATATTTATAAGATGATTGTTTTGTGGAATATAGATTTAAGTTATCAATTGTTGCATTGTGCTGCTATTCACCAAAAGCACATCAGTGAGAGCTAGAACTCTTGTCAAGGACAAAGAAAATTTGTCAGGGCTTGTATTGAACAGAACTCGGTATATTTATTGGCCACACAGCAGTAGTAAAATGAATAAGAATCCGAAATAGCTTCACCTGAAGGTAGGATTTTTTTCTTAAATTAGCAGAGTCAATGTCTTCAAGATTGTGCCATTGATAACAAAGCAATCTGGTGGTGTAATAATTTGGTTCCCAGCCCCTCCCTCCTACCCCACACACATTAACTGACATTTTGAAAGGAGGAAGGTAGAAAACCTGAAAGAAAGCAGTCAGGTAACATTCTTAAAATACCTTTTATATGTAGAAGGCAAGTGAAAATCTATGACTCATTGTGTGATAAACTGTGTAAACTGAGAAAACAGGAGGCTCTTCTAGCCAGCAAGGGGAAGACAGTTTATTCTTTATTATTTATAATTTATTATTATTATTATTAAGCAACAATTTGAATTTAAGTTTAGTTTTTGTTTTTCTTTGATAATTCTAACATACTTAAATTCTTGAGACATTCAGGTGCACCTGTCCCGTGGAAATGCAGTCATTGATGAGTTCAGCCTGGCAGTTCTTTATCCTTCTTTCCAATAGTCTTCCTTTTCTCCTTATTACTAATCAGAATTGCTGTATTGTATGTTAAATAATGTGTGGGAAACTCTTAATATGCTTCTCACTTAGTCACCGGCTTATTTCTTTTGCCAGAATAACCCACGTAGCAGGTTTTCAAAGGTCATATCTGTGACTTTCAGAGGAGAAGCAACATATTTTCATTGATTTCCGTTTCAGTAGTGCTATTTTGACTGAAGCTTAACCTGTACTTAACAGGTTCTTTGAATGGCCTAATTATGTCTCCATGAAGAAAAAAAAAAAAATCCGGTCTTGACTACCAAAGTAAAAATCTTCCAAGATGTCAAGCTTCTAGGAAAAGGCCTTGTTGGTCCACAGTGGGTTTGTTGATATTAACTGAGTCATTAATGAAATTGAAGACTAAAAATATACAAAAAAGCAAACAAGAGTGCTTATTATTCCTATTCTTTTTTTTAAAGATTTTATTTATTTATTTGTCAGAGAGAGAACACAAGCAGGGGGAGCGGCAGGCAGAGGGAAAGAGAGAAGCAGGCTCCCCACTGGGCAGGGAGCTGGACGTGGGGCTCCATGCCAGGACCCTGAGATCATGACCTGAGCCAAAGGCAGACGCTTAACTGACTGAGCCACCCAGGCACCCCTATTTCTATTCCTTATAAGAAGAACATAAACTGCGTCTCCAGTGCAAAATAAAATAAATTTAGAACACTATTACCTTTTATTATATATTGTTCAAGTCCTTAATAAAATGTGGCTGGATACTTTCTAGTTAAAATTGTCCATGTTGCACATAATGGACACCTTGCTAACTATGGAAGTATCCAGAATAAATAGAGGAATGAAAGCGTCCTGAATTGGAGTGTTTCTAAGTGTTAGACTTCAGTTAAAAAATAGCAAATTCTCTTCACTAAAAAAGCCCAAATTATTGACATTAAGTATCAAAATGCAATTTGTGGTTTATAGGTACAATATTTCAGTGAATTCTGAATACTAAGTACTAACCTCCTTTCTTTAAGAAAATAACAAGGGCTATCCCCAAGACCAACTTTCGGAGGGATTCAGGGTGTGATCAGCACTACTCAAAGCCAATAACAATTCAAAGAACTCTGATCCCGGAAAACAATTCCACACTATTGAATAACAACACCTAGCTTGTTAAGTAAGTGGAATAATCAATGTAAAGGGCCTGGTACCAAGACCACAGCCAGTGCCCAATCAAAGATGGTGGCTACCGTTGGCAAAAACATTTCGTTATGGATGTTAGATGGAAGCACCTTTATAACAAAAGGAACAAAAAGCTATATACTTCATGGCAGACTCACAGCTTAAGCACAGAAGGGGCTTGGGAATTGGGGGTTACGATGAAAAGATGTTCTGGGTTCTGAAGGGATGTTCATGACAGAGGAAGTAGAAGAGGGTCAAGGGGAAGTAACTCGTGGCTGAGGCACTGGCAGCTACAGGTAAAAAGGATCTTCTGATTGTTAGGCAGAGCTCCATTTGATGTTATTTCCTATTACTATTTTCCTCCTTTTTGGTTGCTTTAGATTTATTCTGAAATAATTTAAACAAGTCTTCCTGGAGTTATTTCCTACTATTACCTCCTTCTTTCCTGTTATTATTTTTCTCCTTTTGATTTGCTTTAGATTTATTCTGAAATAACTTAACATCAGGTCTTCCTGAGGTAATATTGCCTGATAATGATCTGTTCTTAAAGGCCAGTTTGTTCTCTACTTACTGCTATTTCTGGGATGAAGACAGTGTGATGGGGTGGCTTTTTTATTAAGAAGCGTACAGCAGCAAATAGTATAAGTGTTCTTGAGTCAGCATCTGAGTACAGCCCTCACCTGGGACCATGTGCTTGACATGATTACTTCAGGCATGTAGAAGAATTTGATATTAGCCAGTTAGTCCTAGAATTCAAAGCAAATAATTTAGAAGGCTCTATGGATAGTGTAGAGTATGGTGCACTCAGCAGGTTGTACCAGCCCAAATAGATGTCATGAGTTTCATCCCCCTGCAAAATCCAAGAGCAAGAAATGGTGTAAATTTGTGGAATGAACAAAAATACCCTTGTGTCTTATGGTACTGAGAATCAACCCTCCTTACACTGGGTTCACCAGTACAGAATGTTTTCTGCACCTTTGATAAGCTGTTGTTTTCTGACTCAGTGTTGGTACATTAAATAAAAGTTAACAATTATTTCTCACTCCCAAAGCATTATCTGATGGTATCAAAGCTTTACTTGGCCACAAGATAATCAACACACCAACCCCTAACTATTCAAGAACATTATTAAACACCAAGCAAAAACTGAGACACACATACCCAAGCTGCTACCCACTGAAACATCCTAGCTGCTAGGAGCATCTACAAGTCCTGTGCCTACCTGGATGGCACGGATGTATGAAATATATCAGCCATAAGCCTCTTTGGGGAAGCCTTTCCTAAGAAGTCTGTTCCATTAGTAATGTCCTCTCACACATGGCTCTGAATACTTTTGCTCAGTTTTAGTCCATAAACATTGAGCACATACTGCATGGAAAAGAACAGAAGAATTACAGTCAGGGAACTTGGCTTCCAGCCCTGTCGTTATGATTTAGCAGAGGTGTGGTATTCAGCAATCATTTACTATCTCTATAAAATTGAGAAAATAGCATTACCCAAACACAAAGTTGCTATGTGTAGTAAACGAGATTAGGCTATGTAGGGCCTTTATCAGGCACTGGATAAATGTTAGTCACTACTGTTGTTACATACATGACAACGAGCCTGGAAGAACAACAGAGAATGCTATTGCCCTGAGCTGCCTGCCACAGCAGCACCCACATTATATGATGCCACCACCACGAGAGAGTCTGCTATTTGCACACCCAAAACCTTTCTCATCTCCTAGTTTATGGTGAACAAATTTCTGCACA